ACCTGCGATTTAGACCCTTGTTTCCACGAGAAAGAATCGATTTGACTGTTTCATTACCCTGTAGCAGGGCCGTACACAGCGGGGGCCAGCTGCCCCCTGGAGAAAACTATATTTGCGATTTTTAGAATGATATTTAACAATATAAAACATTTTCCGTGTTGATATATCCACTTGTTGAAATTGGGAAAACTCGAAATTGTGTGAAAACACTCCGCCCTTTGGGTGTCGTATTTCCACACAATTTCTCGTTTTCCCAATTTCCACTCGTGTTGATATAACTGTATATCAATACGGAAAAAAAATTTATATTTGTTTTATAATATAGCACGGAGAAATATAAAGAAAGAAATTTTTTGATGTTTCTGTGTTGACATTGAGTTATATCAACACAGCTCTTAGCCAATCAGCGTTCAGAATTTTCAAATGCTATATTATATTAAAGGTGATCTACAGTCCGATCTGCGCATGTGCACAAAGGAGCCCACTTTTTATGATACAAACAGTTTTACTATGTTTTGGGTTCATGCATAGCCTGATTGTTGTTTCTTGATCATTTATTATACTCTAGAAGCTGAAAATATAAATAGCTATCAACTAAAGCTCAATATTTTGGACGCAAAAATGTAAACAAAGGCTTTGTTTACATACGGACTGTAGATCACCTTTAAATATTAATTATTCTTTGGATATTTGGGCCCCCCCCCCCCCCGCCCGAGTGTCTTCTAGTGCTAAATGAGGATGAGCGCAGACACATAGAGATTATAAATAACACCAGGCATAAATAACATGAATATTCATGAGTAAATGACGAAAAATTTCAACGCAAAAATCTCACTGACTAGTGTAGATATTCGACAAACGAAGCCACTTGCCTTTCGTCTTTCGACTGGATTTCCATCTACGATCTAGTACTCAATGTACAGACACAGAAATTGCTAGCAGTCGAAGCAGTGTCGATAGCTGCTGTTTTCCCGGCGAAATCCGCGAGATTTACGTCTTACAATATTCTTTTAGAAAGGGGAACAAATTTTTGATGCCCATTTGCTTTATTTGCAATTTTGCATATGTTCACGTGTTCTAAGTCGGCAGTCGTGTGGTCCTGTGGTGTTGGGGTTAAATAGAGCCTGATCTCAGGTTATGTTGGGGTTAGCACTATTTTCCATCCAGCAAACTGACCTGACGTCATTTTCGGAAGATGGCAGTGCCTTTTTTAACTATATATCTGGGGGGGGGCAATTGCCCCCCCCCAGGGAAAGAATTTGCCCCCCCCCCAGTAAAGCCATTTCTGCCCCCGAAGTGCGAAGCAGAATTGCTCACGATTGCTGTGAGATTATGCCCTTCCATAGCCTCCTCCACAGCCATCTTGTGTGTAATTCATATTGTTCTTCACCGAGTATTTCATAATAGCGATAGATTTCATGCAAACAATCCGATAAAATGCTAGCCTTTCCAAGCCTTGCGACTATTTCCTAGCACTCTCCTCCGCAGAAGCGTTGTGTTTTGTTTTGGGAGGTTTTATTGCAAAATTGTTTTCTTAAAAATATCAAGTTATATTAAGATCCTTCCCCCAATCGCCACAAAAACCATTCTCTCAGAAAGTACACGTTACATGCTCGAAGCTGAAACTGATTAAGTTTGTCTCGACTGAGGAAAAAGACGATATACTGGAGGAACTTGATTTGTGAAATATCGTTAAAGCAGTTGTAGATATGGTTCCAAGAAGAATAGATTTAGTTTAGATTTTTAACTGTTAAATACATGTATGCATCATCATAGCATGAATATTTCTTCTCAGACTTATTCTGTATCGTATGAAAAAGCAACACAATTTTTAGAATGCGGAAAAGGTGTCGTCTCATAGAACCTAAAATGATTTAAATGCAACATTTCTGATCAAAATCACATTGGGATCCCCCCCCCCCCCACAGAGAGGAAATAAGGTGACACTGACCCCTACTCCTATTTTTCGTAGAAATGTCTGGAAAAATTCATGTCTTCGATGTACTTTATAATCTTCGGAATTCTGCTAGATTTCACCCCCAAAATGCATGAAATCGCAATTCAGGGACCCTAGATTTCATAATTTTCCAGACCCCGGACCCTCCTAGATGGTCTCACGCCGAAGGCATGAGGTTCGCCCCCGCAAAATTAACGTTTGGCCACTACGCCACTGGTTATAGCTGTACGATTATAGCTACAAAGAGTTGAAGTTATTGTTTAAAGTAAAATATAGCTGAAGTTAATAAATTAAAGTTTTACAAAATCTCTCTTCAGACTCGCGCCATTCGCGCGTTCGCCAAACCTCGACAGCTCATATTTTTTGTTCTGCCTTTTTTCTGTTTTGCCCCAATGAAAATTCCTTAAAAAAGGCACTGGAAGATGGAATCATGGGAAGCTATGTGTTTTTACTGTTAAAATGTCAAATTGTCCTCAGTGTGACCAGATGTGGTAATTTCCAGGGGCGCCGGAAGCAATGTGAAGCGACGGGGGCAGCCATTTCAAAAGGGCACTTGCTTCTCAGCCATCATTTTTCTGGGCGGCAATATTTGTTAAAACTTTATTGTATGGATACCCAATTACTTGTGGCTATTGTGGGTCGGCAAACTTCGACATTAATTTTGAACAATTTTATTTGTTGCACCATGTTAAGGGCGCAAAATAAAATCAGTTAACGGACGTATATTGCCTGATTTAGCATTAATCAGGGGCCGCGGAACCGGGGGGCAATGGGGGCATGTGCCTCCCCACTTTTTTAAAAGTGAAAAAATGCCCTTTTTGGGGGCTAGAAAGAAAGTGCCCTTTTTGCAGTAGTAAAGACTCTGTAAAGGCCATTTCCGACGTTATAGGGACTCGTGAACGACATAAAATCGTTTGATTTTCATCATAATTATACAAAAGTGATTCCGCGGCCTCTGGCATTAATTTTACTATAACTGGTTAAAATTAAGCAAAGATTGCTTAAGCATTGCTTAAAAATAGTTATAAATTCCAATTCATGTGAATAACGCACAAATTTCGAAGCGCAGTTCTGGTGAAAAAGGGCAATCCGTTGCCCCCCGTGCCGCCCCCGCACTGTTTCGGCAACGGGGGCAGTTGCCCCCGCTGCCCCGGTGGCTCCGGCGCCCCTGGTAATTTCATTACTACCGTGGTAATTTTTCGTCATTTTTGGAGGATTGTGGTAATTGGAAATTTGTGGTAATTACTACGGTAATTTCGGAACTACCGTGGTAATTTTTCGTCAATTTTGTCCGATTGTGGTAATTTGAATGGTTTTGGCCATGTTTTACTCGTTATTTGTCCGGAAAAATGTTTTGAACCCTAATTTAAGAGGTGGTTCCCAGGAAAAATTTTGGTGTCCAAAAAAATTTTTTTTGCCCCCTCCCTCCCTCCCTCCCTCCCCGCTCCCCAACATTTTTGGGGAAAATGTGGAAATATGTGGAAAATATAGCACCGTGGTAATTTATCATGAGGGTCCTGAAGGGGGGGGGGGGTCCCAATCCCATTTCCCACCTGAAATTTTGACAAAATCCCAGTCCCAGTTGGATTTTTATTAGAAATCCCAGTCCGAGTTATTGAAATCCCAGTCAATAAAAACCCCTTTATTTATCGGTACAATAAACAGTTTTAAGATTTTTAAGCCACCGTGTGTGCAAGTGGCGAACACTTTATGAAATATTGGGGGATGGAGGTTTGTGCCGAAGGCACGGAAAATTTTTAAATTTGAATCCCGGAAATGGCATTTGCAGCATTCTGAGACATGCATAATCAGAAAACCCAGAATTTCGGGCGCCAGAGTATGCCTGTTCTCAGGTAGTGCTGTGAATAATATAGTTAACAACAAAAATCATGACCAAAGACACCAAAAACGGATCAAAATTGTTTTTTAAAATACTTAAAACGTAGAAAAATTGGGAATCGACTCGCATTACCTCAATCACATTCCCATTCTTGAGGACTTCATTTCCCATTCCCAGTGACCAAATCCCAGTCCCAGCAACCCAAATCCCATTTTCCCAGTCTAAAAATAGATCAATCCCAGTTCCCATTTTACCCCTTCAGGGCCCTCTATCATGACCGAATGTAGTAATTTATGAAACCGGATGTGGTAATTTCCCCTGAAAAAACCTGGTCACACTGATTGTCCTCTATTAACTTACCCTGGGTACCAGAGCCTCTTATGAAATGACTTCATAAGAGGCTCTGGTACCCAGGGTACTATTAACTATGAACTAACACAAACCCTACCCCTACTCTAACCACAGTTAATAAAATAAGATTATTTTAGATTATCTTATTTTATTAACTGTTCTCCCTAACCGCAACCCTAACTCTAACCCTAACCCTAACCCTAACGGCCTAACCCTAACGGCCTAACCGAATTAAAAAAATAAAAAAATAAAAAAATAAAAAAATAAAAAAATAAAAAAATAAAAAAATAAAAAAATAAAAAAATAAAAAAATAAAAAAATAAAAAAATAAAAAAATAAAAAAATAAAAAAATAAAAAAATAAAAAAATAAAAAAATAAAAAAATAAAAGGACTTTAGAAAATCGACAGGGCGGTTACCCTGGATTCCAGAGCCTTCGACAGTAAATAATAAATTAAGTGTCACTTCAATTTATTATTTACTGTCGAAGGCTCTGGAATCCAGGGTACAGGGCGGTTTGCTGGATGGAAAATAGTGCTAACTTGTGGTGTGGTCGCACAAAATGAATTTTTTTTCATTTTCCCCGTCGTGCTTTTCGGTCGCTATGCGCCCTATACCTCCTGAAATAAAAATAACACCACGTTGGCCAGATGATCTTGATACGCGGAAAAGTACTGGCACTAGTTGTCAAATAGAAATCCATTTTATGATTAAAACAACTGAATATCTCCTGTAATATACTTTATTTCGATTCCATATTTTTGTCAGAGCTATAGTTCTCATAACCAAACATAATTACAAAATTTCAACTAGTTTCCTAAAGAATAACGAAAGATATAATTGACTGAATACATCAAAATGGATTTCTATTCGGACAACCGTTTCTGAGCGCTGATTGGCTAAAATACGAACACGAGATCACCTGGTTGATGGTAGGGCATAGCTCCGCGGTCTATTTTGGTTATTTTAGTCTTTTTAGACTGTGAATATTGCCGATAGAAGATTGAAAACCTTGAGATAATCGTAATGGCCAGTTCTAATAGTGAAGGATCGTCTAAACAAGTAAAGCACGAAGACTTGGTGCTGTTTATGAACAGTTTTGCTTCTGAATTTAACAACGATAATTTGCATGATCGTGTCTTGGTCTTTGAAGTCATCGAGAAGTCGGAAGGTAGGAAAGTTAGATACTTTCAACCGCCATACTTTTAACAGACCGAGGTCTGGTATATATTTTCTTTAGATTTACTAGATTAATGGCGTTGCAAGATTTTTAATAGGCTCTGTCTGACCCTCGATGTACTATCGAAGCCGATGTACCACCTCGTGTACCACAACAACTGGAATTTTTGAAAGGAAATCAAAAGGAGCCCACCCAGTGATGTAACGCAACATCAGAACCCCCACTAAAGAATAGGCTGTATTTTGAAATGCGAGAGGCACCACTTTGTGCAGTTGTGCTCAAAGCATGAACAACAATTAATGAAGTTGAATATGTTGAAAAGAGACAGATAGTTAAAATTGAACAACTGGCGACTAAGCAAGACAACAATAACTTGAAACACATTTTTGTGGCATATATTTTGGGCAGAGAAGTGCTCGAAAACAGTTCTGGCTGAACTGTCTAGAGGCTTCTTGCCATTGCTTCTCACTAACCTAAGTTTTATCTAGAGAAATAGGCGAATCTCTAGACTGCAGAGGGCATGCTTGACTCTGTGCATGTCGCTCAGCGAGTTGAGACCTACTTGGACTGGTGAACAACTATTGGTATAGGGCACATTACCCAGGGTACTCAAAGCTGGCTGAGGATACATGCAAAAACTGTAGGTTGTTCTAGAGGAACAGGCGGACCTCTAGATAACAGGGGAACAGGCGAACCCCCGTTCAGATCCGTTAGGCCGTCGACATTGAGACCTAGTTGGACTGGTGAACAACTATTGGTATAGGGCAGATTACCCCAGGACGCAACTGATAACCTGACTGACCACATCGACTCTCTAGGTCTGCTCATTCAGGTCTTCAGTGCGACCTGAATGAGCAGTGATTGCGCTTCAGGTGGTGAAATGTTGTCGATCGGACAGCACTTCCCTGCCAGTATTTAAAGGGTTATTGACTGAGCGTGAGGTCTGTACTGTGAAATATCAGACCGAAGTTTTTTATTATGGACCGAGCCACGAAGGAGCGAGGTTGGAGGTCCATGCAAAAACAGAGGTCTAACATTTCACAGTACAGACCGAACAAGTGAGGTCAATAATCTGTTTATTATATGACTGAACTGATTCTGTGAGCATATGCTTTTCGCGTGAATTAAATCGGCTATTGTCAGTTTCACTGGGTAACAATATACGGTAGGCATGCATGCTCAATCAAAAACAATTTGGTTGTTTGAAATTTTTATCTGTAAAGCGCAATTGGAAATTTACAGTAAAAAGAAAAAAAATTTCTGTTTGCAATGAAAGCAAAAATTTCCCGCCAGATAAACGACATCCGGGACACCGGTCCAGATACGGAAAATACAGACCACGGTCCGGATATGGGTTTTTACGGACCGCTTGTCAACCAATCAGAATAGAGAATTTTGAAAAGCCATAATAATAAATAAAAACTAGAAAAATGTATAAATGATACAGTACATAATCTTAGTTATAGAATGAGTAACATACCAAATGTGTATTATTGTGTTGGAAATCATTGTGCAGTCATGTGCATTGCCACTTTCTCTCTGCCCTTCTGTTACAAGGCAGAATAAAGAACCACAATCTAAATCCTTTAATAATCTTATGATGCAATATGAAAAGTGAAATGTTGGGAATTTCTTGACCACCCTCCCCCTCCTTGTTACTTAATGCCCCATCTCTAATAAATGGATGTCCACTCTAATTAGGAAAAGTAATACATGTAAAATGTTAAACAACACAAAATAGTCCATTGTGTGTCCATTAACAGAGGCCCGGGTTGTATTCTAAGATCTATCTTTAAGATTGTGATAGTAACTCCTAGTATAAATTTGCCTCCAGGGGGATGAGTGATTTGTCAAATCTAAAATTCCCACGCTGTGCATTCACATTTTTATTATAGTAAATGCGCATTAATGTACAAGGCTCACCGGTACTGAGACAGAGTATAGCGGGAGGGCACTCAGAGACTGGATACTGTACCTCTGCCAGCGAGCAAGGGCATAACTTGGGTTTAAATATTTGGTGTGTGTAGAGTTGCTTTTGTCTGGCAACGAAAAGGGTGTGGCCAGAAAAGAACATATAGATGCTGGGAAAACTAAGAAAGTTTAGAGTCCACCAGCTCTTCACAGTGGTCCTGGTCCCATGGGCCTGGGGACGATGATGTAAAGGCACAAGTATCGAGTGCCAAAGACACAAGACCCAAAGGGGAGTATGGGTGCATGCTCCCCCAGAAAATTATGAAATTTAGTCAGTTTCATGCACTTTATGGGGAGATTTTACCGAATTGTGGTAGTCAGAAAACGTGGTATATTAGAATAGCAAAATTGCTCAAACTGAACTTCAAGGTTTTCTTGCTCTTACTCTAGATGATTTGAATGTTTTCTTGCCCGACAAATTATTGAATATTTGCCCTACCAAATTGCTTTTCTTAAGCATTAGGGGGGTGTCACCCCCCCTCTAGGGTTTATGTCCCTGTCAGGAATTATGTTATGTATTTATGCGTAAATTATACAACGGACTAATTACGCATTCAGTTTACACTGCCCAGCATAGCCTGCGTGCAGGCCCAAGGGAACTGATAGTGGGCCTGCAACCATCGCCCGGTATTTTGTAAAACGCCCCTTTTCATAACACGCCCCATTCGCGCGTCAATTGTCAAAAAAGAACCAATGACAGCACACAAATATTAACAAACAAACTCGCATTAAAATTTGCGGGGTTTTCTCTGCTTATTCAGAACACTAATAAACAATGTGTAAATGGCTGCGTTTTAACTCCAAAAAAGCAAGCAACGCAGTCAGTAATTGCCAAATTTGCAAGTGCTCATTTTCAACTAAAATCGGAACAGGCAAATTAGGACGAATTTCAACAGAAAACCAGTCTCAAACTTCAAGTCATGAGGGAAGTCGTGCGACCACATTAGGATTTATATTATGTGTGCTTCGCTGTCGCCATTGCCATTGTTAATATAAATAAATTGTCTCACTTATCAGATCGTGTGTGCAATTCTTGTTGGCGGCGGAAAGTACGAAATTTATTTCATTTGGTAAAGAATTCTACAAAAGAAGAGAGCGTCTTCCGAGTCCAGATCGTTTTGTTTCAAACGGCAATTTAATACCGCCTTCTGTTTCGCTCTCTCAGCGAAGCCTTGTAAATCGCAAAGTGTTTCGAATAGGCTTACAGTCCTTACATGCAACTGCATCTCAACATCAACCAAAAGATAATTTTCTTGAGGAAGTGAGAACACATAACGTATCAACTGAAGTCTGTTTGAAATTAATGAAAGTAACGGTTACTATAGTTTACCCCAGTCGTAATTTGCTATTCCAACACCTCACGACAAGCAATCCCCATTGGCATAACGGCAAAACATGTCTTCCTTCAAGTAAACAATAAACAGTCTGTTCTTGTTCCATTTTAATTGTAATCGAAAAAAGTGATCAATTTTCAATTTTTAAGCTTATCGAGAGCCTTTGTCTATGCCTTTGTGATGAATCGCTGTTCCCTTGGGCCTGCATGCTAGGTTAATTAATTACCGATCGCCTCAGCTAGCCAATGGGAATTTAGCCGGCGGTTCGGCCGGCGAAAATCGAAAACATGGGGTGATGGTTGCAGGCCCACTATCAGTTCCCTTGGGCCTGCACGCAGGCTATGCCCAGCAAAGCAAGACAAACTTTTGCTTAATGCTCATCCAAATTTTGGTCACAATTTAACCAATTTGTCCTTGGGCAGTGTCCTTTGTCCCACAAATTTTTGTACTATTTTATCGTGCTTGCTGACTGACTGACAAACACAGACACACAAACATACCGAAACGCGAATGAAAACAGAACCTCTTGGCGGAGGACTAGTGGACTACTAATAATACTGTAGGGTGCATTGGATTTCCTATATTGATTTTCCTAGATTTGATATTGATTTCCTAAGCAGTGCAGACATGAACTGTTTCAGTCTCTGACATGTGAAAGGTGGCACGTTGATGTAACTAAAACAATAGATGTTGAATTTCTTGACATCACTTTCTCTACATTCATTCATTCATTCATTCATACGTCTTTATTAAAAATATATCATAATTATTGGAGTTGCAACAAACGTGCAACTTTACAGTGCATATAAGATATATATATATATATATATATATATATATATATATATATATATATATATATATATATATATATATATATATATATATATATATATATATATATATATATATAGTAATATATATATAGTAATTAGATTTTTTACAAATGTGTTAACGTTACAGTTAATAGACTTAATATATACCGTATAACAAAATTTTAAAAGTCATCAAAAGTTGTTTAAAACGTTCAGTGCATATGAGAAATGCTAATTAGATTATTTACAAATGTGTTAACGTTATAGTTAATATATATCGTATAACAAAATTTTAAAAGTAATTAAAAAGACACTTGTTCAAAAATGATTGTTTAAAACGTTCTGTGTAAACTTTTGGTAACATAAATTGATGATCGCGTTCTCTTAAAGGTCGTTGACGTTCTTCCGGTAACAACTCATATAGGCAATGTTCAGGATTGTGCATGACCTTATTGAACAATAATCGATCCCTCTCCTCAATCTTGGCCATTGAATATTTATTTTGAGTGTATCCATATCGGAATGGACGATTGAGAAACTTGTTGAATTTATCAATGTATTTCGCTTGCAAAGCCGATCCCCATACTTCAATTGTATAGTAAAATAACGACAGGATCAATGAATCGAACAATTTAGTTAAGTTCATTTAGCGAATATCCGTAGAATTTACAAACTCTCAGGATGTAAATTTGACTTCCTGCCTTTGACAACAAGCTATCTACCTGCTTGTCCCAACAACGTGGGTTTTCTTGAAAGGTGACGCCAAGTACTGTAGTTTTAACCATTTTTTACGTCGTATTCCATTAATAAGGGGGGGGGGGGAAGGAATGGCAGGTGAATGAGTACATAGTAACATTTCCCATGTTTTTTTAAAGTTGAGTTTCATTCTATTGTTGCTTGCCCAACTCTCAATGTTAGTTACCTCGTCCAAAGCCGAGTCACCAGACGATGTGACAGGAACACTCACTGTTAAATCATCTGCAAACTTGACCAAATTGTTCGTTGGTGGATGTTTGGCTTCAATGTCGTTGGCCATTAACGAAAATAAGAAGGGACCAAGAACTGCACCTTGAGGTACTCCTCTGTTGATGTTGACAAAATTGGTAACAGTTCCATCTACAGTAAATCTCTGTTTCCTACACGATATATAATTAATGAGCCAATTGATAATATATGGATTAAGATTTGTTGATTCAATTTCTGTGTTAAAATATCGTGGGGGACGCTTTCAAACGCTTTACTGAAATCGAAGGATATTACACGAATGAAGTTAGCCTTATCGTCTAACCATTTTAGCCAATGATGCTGGCACTTCATGAGAACTACAGTAGTGTTTGAGTTTTCCCTATAAGCATACTGGTTCTTATCAATAATCAATTTTGAGGGATGACGAATCTCTTCTTGAAATATGATCCTTTCGAAGAGTCGCATAATAACGTTAGTCAACGATATTGGTCTCAATTGATCGCATTCGGTTAACGGAGATTCCTTAGGTAATGGGCTTAGATTCGCTAGCTTCCACATACTAGGTACACACTGCTGTCTCAAAGAAGAATTCAATACATTTGTAAGAACTGGTGCAAAATAGCAGGCAAAATTCCTCCAAACCCAATACGGAATACCATCCGGACCAGGTGATGTTTGTTTTTGTCTCGTCATAAAGTTTTCAACAGTTTTGATATCAACAGTTGGAACTCGAGTTCCTTCAGGGATTGTCAATGGATCAGGTCTCACGTACTCATTATCAGTGTTTATACCTTGAAAGTAAGCATTCATAATTTCTGGATCGATAATATTACTAATATTTTCCGACCTAGATCCTCTTCCAGTAATTTGGTTAACGGTTTTCCACCATTTTCGAGAACCGTGTCTGTAATTGATTTTATCGTCATGAATGGCTTTGACATGGTTTTCTCGAATAAGTTTATTTATCTTCTGTTGAATTAGGCCAGTATCAGCGCCTCTCATAAGTTCCCTATTCCGTACATTACACAGATGCTTTACAAGCGGAGACATAAATGGTGGATCACGAGTCAACATTTTGACTTTAATCGTGGGAAAGCACTCATTGAACATATTACAAAGAGTTTCATTCAACAACTCGACTCCTTCGTCAACATAGTCAGTGTTGGCATCGTAAATCCGGCTCCAGTCATATACCTTCAATTTATTCTCCATTTTTATTTTACGGTGGTACGTCACATCACGAAAATATACAAATTTTCTTCACAACAACCGCAGAATGATCAGAGCGTACCAAACATCTAAAGACTATAGGAGCCTTCCATAAATGAGGGATATTGGTCAAGAAAACATCCAGTATCCGAGCACCTCTAGTAGGTTTCCTCACGATTTGATCAGTTGTGCTGAATGCAAAAGTCGTGCATGCGTAGTTGATTTACATCACCAGCAATAATTATTTTGGCATTAGATTGCAATAACAGAATCTTCTCACAAGTATTCAGATAAAAAATTAAGCAAATCAGATTTGTTGTAAATTGGCTCAGGTGGATGATACACTACAGAGACGCAGTATGAACTATTCATAGTGTGAATTTCGCACCAGATACATTTCTACACAAGATGGCAACCCCACCTCCTGGCCGAAAATCGCGATCCTTACGAACTATAGTATAACCACTTGGACATATTAAAGTTGAGGGGATGCACTTATGAAGCCATGTTTCTGTAATAAAACAGACGTCTATATTGTTATGGAGAAGTTCAGCCGTCAATGCTGGTAGAGCATCAGATTTGACCAATGAACGGGTATTAATGGCCATACGTTTTGGAATTATCTTAGCTTGAGGGGTCCATCTTTCAGTATCTTAATTGTCTTCATATTACTGGGGTTACTTCTATTTTTGTTCGGGGCCCTTCTAGAATTTTTAGCAGTAATTCTAACTGGTATCGAAGCCGTTATACCATAATGTATTGATCTCGTGTTTTTACTCTTTCGAGATGTTGTTCTTATTGGTATTGTACTAGCCATTATACATACGTTGAGGAATTTCCCCCAAATTTCACTCAGTTGTAAAAAGCGTTCAAATTTCACTCAGTTCTCTTGATTTTTTTTCATTTTAGATGGAGGGAAAGAAACTCCTGAACACCCTAATAGCAGAAATAGGAAAGGCGCAGGAAAGGGACGAAATAGTAACAAGAGAAACAGCAGCAGCAAAAAACCAGTACACGTAAAAGAAGTAGGTGCGCATGAAAATCAGGATGGGAAGATTGTTCTTGAAGGGAAGAAAGAAGGCGAAAATAGAACCAAATTGTTTGTTCACAGTTCCTGGCTTGCCGTTCACAGTCCGTACTTCAAAGCTCTGTTTTATTCTGGTATGAAGGAAACCCATTCAAAGGAAGTGGTTATGAGAATTCATGAATCTGAATTGCAAGCTCATTTGCTTTTAATCGAAGCGATGTACAAACTGGATGTATTGGATGATAAAGATATTACTTTGATACTCGAAGTTCTTGTACTAGCTGACAAATACGATGCTAACCTAATGTTTAAAAAATGCAAATGTGTTTTGATTTCAACTCCTTTATCCTTGGAAACGTGTGAGCAGACCCTTAATTCTGTTGCTGAAATACCAGACTGTGCGGATGTTCTCGATGCTGTGGCGGCGTTTTTAGTAAAAGAGTTTTCCCCATTGGACAAGACATGGACTGCCGACAAGTTCTTAGCACTTTCTAAGGCCTCATTGAAGTCACTCTTAAGCAATGATAAGTTAGTTGTTATGTCTGAAAACACAGTGTTTGTTGCTTTGATGGCCTGGCTTCACGACCATAGAGAAGAAGCGGCGCAAGACGGACGTTTCTTTTTATCGTTAGTGCGGTTTGAATTGATGACTCCAAATTTCATTTATGATATTGTACGCCATGATACAATGGCGAAAAGTTTGGATGGTTTCCACGAAATTCTTCTTGACGGTTTCGCATACCACGCTCTTCCACAATCGAGAATTAATCAACTCAACGTTAAGCCAATTTCCCGTTCAGGTTACACTGATAGTGGTCCAACATTTTCATGGGTAATTGATCAAGAGGAACAAAGAATGCTGATTGAAGTCGACACAATCTTTTCAAGCATGTTTTGGTTACAGGGATACAGGATGGGACTTAAATTGAACTATGAGAAAGTGTCCAAAAAATATTCTATGTATCTGTACCTGTATAATTTGAAGGAGGGGCATGTTGAAATCGATTGGAATGCCAAGTCAGATTTGTTTTCTAAAAAGGTCGTCTGTTGTAAATCATGTACGTACACAACTTCGTCCACGGGTTATGGTGCGAGAGATTTGCAAAGTAATAAGGTACCGTCCATAGAAGCGAACACCCCAACACGAATAGTACAAGTCTGGGTTCATATCTCGTAACTTGCTACAGTCATTGGGATCTTGACATAATTTATTCCAGAACTATAGTGCATTCTGCATGCAGCCTGGATGAAAAGTAGTTTCGGTTATTCCGTATATTGTTATGTTAAAAAGAAGCGCAACAATCCTTGTGTATGTAACAGTGACTAACCACCAATTGAACTTGCCATGTTAAAATATTCATCATGTTATACAAGTGCATATTATTGTTAGAAACAACACATACAAAACAGGAATACTTGCTTTAGGCAATTACTGCATGCGCCCTGCTCATATCCTGTATTTATGAAAGTTTCACGTGTCAACAACGTGTTCTCAAATTTCATTGACGAAGCGAGGTGATGGAATGCCTTCATCCAGCTGTATTTTATTTAAATAAGGAAAGCGAATAGAGCTTTTATGGTATAGGTTTACAGAAATGACTGTTAAGGGAATTCAATATTTTTATATTTATATTTTAAAACACAGTTAATTAGTTATAAACAGCCACGATCGGGAATAAACTGTAACGTTTTCTAATAAAGACGTTTACTAAGTTTCTGCACAGTTTTCGCTCCTGCATCAAAGATGTGGAAAAAATTTGGTTGTCAAAGGAGGAAGGTATCAAGTGAACCTATGGTGCTTGAATATAAGCGTGGTGCTATAGAAATCGCTAATATGCAAAGGTATTTCATTATTTTCAAGAAAATAAACAAAATATCAAATACAAAGTCGTACAAATAAGTATTATTTGCATATTTTATGTTACACGTGTTTTATTCAATATTCCTACAGAACCATATACCCTATACCTATACTTTCCAGAACTAGTCTTGTTGCTTTTTATAAATACCAACGGTGAAATAATTTTTTTATGAACCAGCTGCCATATTTGAATGTTTCAAAGCCTACACCAACAAATTATCAAGTAACAACAAAAGCACATAATATAATTCCTTTATGTATAACAGAATATAGTTCTTTTATTGTTGCTAAAACAACCACGAACACAACACGTAACAACAACCACTTCTTTTACTCGTACTGGTCGATAAAAGTGGACAGTTGCCGTTACTTTCAGGACTGTCAAGAATTCTGCAATGAACTAGGGTCTTCATTGGCTTGAACAGCCTCTACAAGACGACAAAGAACACAGTGCCTTTTTTAACTATATATCTGGGGGGGTGGGCAATTGCCCCCCAGGGAAAAAAATTGCCCCCCCCCCCCAGTAAAGCCATTTCTGCCCCCGAATGATTGCTGCCAGAATTGCAGTTGATTTACTTGATGAGATTATGTCCTTCCATAGCCTCCTCCACAGCCATCTTGTGTGTAATTCATATTGCTCTTCACAGAGTATTTCATAATAGCGATTATTAGATTTCATGCAAACAACCGATAAAATGCTAGCCTTTCCAAGTCTTGCGACTATTTCCTAGCACTCGCCTCCGCAGAGACGTTTTGTTTTGGGAGGTTTTATTGCAAAATTTTTTTCTTAAAAATATCAAGTTATATTAAGAGCCCCCCCCCCCCCCAATCGCCACAAAAACCATTCTCTTAGAAAGGCTAAATCCGTAGATACATTGGTGTGGGGGGGGGGGGTACACGTTACATGCTCGAACCTGAAACCGATTAAGTACGTCCCGACTGAGGAAAAAGACGATATACTGGAGGAACTTGATTTGTAAAATCTCGTTAAAGCAGTTCCAAGAAGAATAGATTTGGTTCCAAGATATGGTTCCAAGAAGAATAGATTTAGTTTAAATTTTTAACTGTTATGTATGCATCATCATAGCATGAATATTTCTTCTCAGACTTATTCTGTATCGTATGAAAAAGCACCTCAATTTTGAGAATGCGGAAATGGT